CTGATGTTGGAGAGTAGCGGTTGATGATAGTGATGGTTTTTTGATGCAGAGGACGGAGTCGAAGGATAGCCAAGTAAGGTGTTAGGATCTCATGCAAATCTACAAGATGGACAAATGGGTGTACGACAAATCCAGCGCCTATAACATTCCGTGATGGAACCTTTTCACCACGAATGATGAGTGTGCCACCACTCAGCTGCCTCACGTCCATCTACCTGGACTTTTTTTTCCTGCGAGGCGATTACTTGGTAGTAGATGCGCCCTGCAGCTTGCGCGTGAAGATCGGCGTTGGTGGAGACTGTCCTGGCGTTGTAGGTGCATAGCATGAGACAATCTCCATGACGAGTCGTTGACGTGTCCTTTTGAAAACCATGGCGTCTTGTGCAACCTGACACCGGTCTTGATGACATCCGACGCCGTAGATATAATCCAGTGTGCAGGGCTTCTTTTCCTATCACATGTTGTAAGGGCAATGAGTAAAGGAATCTCCCCAAACATTAGCCCTGCCAAGCTTTCACCACAGGCAATCGCTGACCTTATGTGCAGGGGGATATGTGCCACCCAGCGACTGAATCAGCCAGATGGTGGTGCTTCTGGCATGGTCTATTCTCAGCTGGGCATCCGGGAAACCAAAAACGTCGAACTCCTTCTTAGCTTGGGAGGCCCTGCTGGAGGATAAAACTCCGCTGTACTTCGCAGTTCGACACCCAGAGTCACCCCCACGCCATGATGAGGCGGTAGACCATCACGGGGGAGAGTAGGTTAATTTCTTTAATTATTTCCAACTACACTATCACATTAAGGATGAACACTTAGTGATAGCACTTGTAGAACAACAGCGAGAATTGTTTTGGCCTAAAAGAATTTTAGTTGTGTTCTTAGCCATCAGAATCGAGGGTGTGACACATTTTATTTTCGCAGGTTCTCGCCATTGTTATGTTCCATTCAATCCATTGTTGTTTTTCCAGCTTCAAAATAGGGTATTTCTCAAAACTCTACACCAAACGATGAACGTAGGTTTTGTGTATAGCGTCTAGGGATTGGGTTTGAGATAATAACTGTACACCATACCCTGGCTTAGACAACGCAAATAGAAGCAATTTTGCCATTGGCTTGCGAGAAAAACTTCCTGGGCCTACCGTTGAAATCCAGAAAAGCAGTTCTAGGTAAGAACGGGAAAGCGCTGTTTCAACATACCTTAGGCTTTTGCCAGGGAGCTGGTCGAACAGTCATTGGATGATGCTTTATCGTGGCGAAAAAACATCCACTAAATTCATAAACTGATAGTCTTAAAGTTCTTCAAATTTCAGCACCTTACCCAATACAGATAACTATGACCCCAATTAAATTCATAATGTTATCATGAGGTAATTGTTGGGGATTCCAGAAAAGGCCAAATCTCGTCACAGCCCATCCAACAACACATGTTATCGAGTTCCATAATAATGATCCCACAGCCATACCGATTCCATCCATGATATATATCGTTAGTGCATTTCCTAAATTTAATAACCATGGAACAAATCCATGGGTTAATAAATTAAATCAGCAGAGATTACCGATCGCGAAGAATGCACCCGCAAGCATAGCCAACGGAAATATTGGTGGCCAACCTGAGATAGCGAGCACAATTGCACCAAAAAGAGTCTGCCCAAGACACATAAGCCATTGGAAGTAAAGACCTGTAATAAAATGCATTGTGCTGAGGGATAATATCTAAAATTTCTCTTTAGTGTACTACTGTTCGCTAAACTCTACGGTGAAGTAATTAAGATTGTAAGTTGCAGAAGGACTTTAACATATAAACTTGCAATTGTAAATTGTAATCCATTACGTTTAAAAGCACGAAAGAGCATGGGAATTTGGCTTTTTTATAAGAATTATTCTATTTTAGAAGTGCATTTTTCCAGATGCCTTTAGAAAAACACAAGGAACACAGTACCTTCATTCTTAGATTTTTCCAGTTCATATTTGGCCAAGGTTTGAAAGGAGCGTCTGGAAGATTTCCTCAATGAGACTTAGTATGGAACCCGTCAAAACATGGGTAAGTGGGTGAAAGGAACGAGAAGCTTGGTGACTTTAAAAAAGTAGAGATATTATCTTAAAACTTTCCATTTTTTTCTAACTGCAGAACCACGCAGCAGTGAATAAAAATCTAGCAGAAACAAGACTTTTTTTTTACATCTTTACTTTTATTTCCTTGACCACCGCAAAATCATTGGGCTCATAGGATTTTGATTTAATTTAGCCAATTAGTTGAAAATGTTAGAGATTTGTGCCAGCAAGCTTAATATTATCATAAAAAACATTCTATGA